TCTTCACCGCTACCATGGTGTCGGAGGGTCGCGAAGAAAAAATGTTTGGTTTTCTCTTTGCTTATGTTTTAGATAAAGGTGTGACCGCGCCAAGGGGTTAAGTCGTCAGTGCACTCATCTTCGTGGTGGAATGCACCTATCGGGCGGGAGTTCTGTTTCTTCAACTTGTAGAACTGAACACAAAAATTTATCTGTATAATTAATTTTATGATGTAAGACAAGTGCCGCTCATTTGTAAACTACGATGCGACCATGCGAAGTTAGAAAACTGGTTAACCATGTAGGTTTTCTTTCTCTCTTGAAAGCTATCATGCTGTTGGAAGCGTCGCAAGAGAAAAAGTGTTTCGTTTCTTGCATTCCTAAAACTTAGAATGTGACACCACGAAGCAGGCAATTTTTCCAAATGCCCCTCATTGGGGTTTGGAAATCTTCAAAAAATCTTCTCTTGCTTGGGGTCTTGAAGACATTACCGGGCACGTCCCATGTTTGCATTCCTAAGAGAATGCTTAGTATGTTATTTGTGTATGAAGACATGTATGAACAACATCGTAATTTTGGTTTGGGTTTTGCCGTCACAGAAAACATCGTCACCTTTTTCGTTGAACCAGCGGAGATTGTTTCCTGGTCTCGGGCAAGAGAGCTGTCGACCACGATGTGGACCGGAAACAATGGTGCTGCCTCCTCCTCGTCGTGTGTGCGCCGGAAAAGTCAGCCAGCTAACTGCATGTGGACGCCACCGTTTCTGTGCGGCAGATATATTCTGAGGCGCACGCGAATCTAGTTTTATTGCTCAGCAGTGCAACAGTACTGGCGCGACGGGAGGCGACTGTGCTATACGTCTGGGGTAGCTTGTAGCGTTGCAGGTAGCTAGCGCGCGTGTTCGAAACCCATGGCGTTTATACTTTGACCGATCGAAGCCCACAGTCTTAGATTATATATTACACTCACCGACTCATTACACGCATTAGAGGGCGAGTGATTATTATATATTACAATAATCGGTCCTGGTTGCCCATTACACGCATTACAGTACATAGATATTTGTTTACAGCCCCCGAAACGGGCTTGGTTGGCCACTAGACACATTACACGTACTAGGGTGCAAGCCCTATCTTTATTTTATATGGAAGGGCAGCCAGCACGCGAAACTTAGAGCTCTTGGGCGGGCCATGAGGTGATTAGGTTGGTGATGCTATCCGGCAGGGGGGCCATGTTGCCCTTCATTTCAACGAGCCCGGTCAGAATCTCCTGCCGCTCTCCTACGATTGATCCCTGCGTGGTTACGAAATGCATCGTTAGATTGTCAACTAGCCAGTCCACCGGTCACAAATCCAAAACGCACGCAAATCGAAAAATGCACCTGTGACATATCCGCAAGAACCTGGTTGCCATCGAAGTTGTGCAGGCACCATCCAAAGTCAAAAATGGTTGGCAGAAAAAACTGCAAATGTCAAAGAAAATGGAGTGGTAAGCAGCATGGTCTGTATTTTTCGCATATCGTTAAACGGGGTGGGTTATTGACGCATACCATTCTGCACTCCGCGATGTTGTGTGTCAATTGCGGCCCAATGAACTGTGCCGTTGTAGGAACAAGTGTCCAGATTTCTTCTCCAGCCAAAGCGGCAGTCCAAGATAGAAGGTTGTCAAATTCTAAGCAAAAAAATGAGAGCGCTGTTGGTGATAAGGTGTTATTCATAATTTAGATACTGACTGATATATCTGGCTCTAGGAATAAACGAAAACGAGGCTGGTTGTTCACGTAAAGTGACTCGCCATCGATCTGATCTTGACGTTGGAATATAAGAGAACATACTTCATGGTCTAATGGGTCCTTTCCTAAAATCTGGGTCAATAGTGGGCTTGGGGTGATGGAGATGTACCTTGGCATGGCATGAGTTACAAAAGGCCTACGGACAAAAAGTGTTAGTTCGTGCGTGAAGAACATTACTGGTTTTGGTACGAGGATTGACGAAGTGGGTTGCATGTACCTTTCGATTTCTTCAATTGAGATGCTCTTCAGGAATTCGTCGATGGCTTTCCATACAGGGACTTGAAAACTTGGACGGCATTTGCCATCAATCCAGTGCGACACGGCGAACCCCGCGTGTGCCCGCTCTTGCTTCGGTGGCAATTCAGATGAAGCCTGGCCGAACAGGACCGCGTCGGCCGGGTGCGCTGCATCTCCGTCCATCAACATAATCAAACCCGCGAGCCCGTCCCACCACCCCTTCTGCTCGTCTGCTGGTGATTGACTTGTGAACAAGGTTTTGGCTTGTGTGGACGTGACAAAACCCGCCGCGCTGGTGGTCTCCTAGTCTGCCTGGAAAGATATGTATAATCAGTAAAAAGGCTTGTCCCACTTAGTACTAAGAAAAGAACACGAAATCGCGAAATCAATCGGTAAAAAAACACACCTGGGACAAGTGGCCCTTTCCTCTTCTTAGGCCCGGACGAGGCCGATGACGTGAACTTCTGACCAGAAGAGCTTTCCCCTATGAAAAAAATGAAACAAAAGGGTTTATTCGTCTAGCCGGTGGGGGAATAATTAGGCACGAGTGCAAGTAATGGACGTACCATCGGATTCGGTCATTTCTAGCTTGCGACGGTAGATGTTCGTGCACTGCGGAGAACCCGAGGGGGCAGGTGTGGTGATGATGCATGGTACCGATCGGAGGCTGCAGCATATGCACCCCTCGCCGAGCTCACTAACTAGCGAGTTGAGAAACTGAGTGTTCTCCTGTATTAAGTCAGTCTTGAGGGTGTTTGCAATCCTAAAAGTGGTGGCGTTGTGCCGCTTCATCAGCATCCCGACACTCGAACTTGCCTGGGGCAGACCAGTCAAGCCTTATTTATCGAAGTCGGATAATGTGGCGTGCCCGATGAAATAGATGCGCGCATGCAGCAAAAAAATGATCGTTGAGTACAAAATGATTGGCATACCAGTTTTGGGTAATTATTCTTTAGATACATAGAGAAGTCGCCTCCGGTCGGCATGCGTGGGAAAAGAGGAGCTGGTGTGATTGGAGTGGGTGACGCTCCATGCGGCACTTGGGGCAGCCTGAACGAGATCGGCTGCGGATTAGCGATGGTGTGGGTCCCGTGTGGCCTAGCTGGCGCCCGTACTCTGTTGCATGGTAGGCCGGGCAACATGGGAGTCGCGCGGCCAACTAGATCTGGTGGGGTGTCCCACGCACTCCTAGTATAGCACACCTGATCAGCCTCGCGGATCTGTACAGTTGATATAATTGCGGTTGAAGGATCAGCACATGGGTTCGTAAAATCAAAACGTGGTTTTTAGAGGTGAATAATAAAAATCGGAAATTCAAGAACAGGACCATTGCGCCAGAGAAGTCTGTACTACCTTTCCCCCCAATGCTGCACTTTAAAGCATACGCCTGAACTGCATGTCGTCGAACACAGCTATTCGAGGGAATGTAGTGTGCGGTAGGTTGAAAATCCCGAGATCAAGGTTGTCTAGGTAAAAGACCTATTTACATAAAATAAAATGTTAAACGTGCGTATGGGCACAATTGATTCTAGCGGTAGAAATCCTGAAACTAACCTGCAAGAATAAATGGCAGGCGTGGAGATACGTGACAGGCCGTCCTGCCTTGAGATCTGCTTTTACTCTTGAACATGCAACCATCAACTCTTCTATCACGTACTCGCACCAATCAAACTCGCTAACGTGGTCTATCTGGACGAGTGCCCCCCAGTAATGCGTGTTTTTGTGATCGTGGGTCGTCGACGGGGCAAGCAGATGCCCCATTATGAAAATGACAAATGCCATTTTGAAATTGTCTATCTCGAGTTTAGAACTTGACTCGTCTATTGGTCTAACTAGTATTTTCTCGACAGCAGATAATAGGTTTTTACCACTCGAGTTTATACTTAGCACATCGCGCACGTGGTTTGTCTCGGCGATCGACGCTTTCTGTATATGTACGCGGCCAGACAGTACTCCAAAAACTTTGAACACGTCCGCTGCCCTGAAGGACATTTGTTTGCCAGGACGGATGTAAATAGTTCTAGACAACTCATCAACTCTAGCCATGATCCATATACTTAATCTCAGGCTAATCCTTGGCAAATGTGGCACCTCCAGTATGCCTTCAAAACCCATCTCCTCGACAAGAGATTGTTTGAAGTCATCAAAGGAATCAAGCATGGCACGTACTTTTGTTGGAGAGCAGCGTGACGTTGGGGAGGGGTTGCTCGTGTCGTTCGTGCCCTGGGGGTGCATGGGTTCATCCATCTGCATACACACGCACACACGCGCGGACAAGGGGGATTGATTACACCTTCACAAGTACAGAATGAAAGAAAGTAGCAACGAGAAGAAGATGCTTACCTTACCGTTACCGGTGTCCGGCGACGGCCACAGCACGACGACGGCGGTGGTGTTTACAGAGATGGTGAATCACGTGTTTGTGGCTGTGTGCTACCAGACGAAGGAACCGTGTGGTGTGTGGGTCGAGGCTCGGGCCGCGGGAGCTCAATTTATAGAGCACGCGTGCCCTGGCGTCTTCTGCTCCGTTGCAGGCCGTCGTAATTGGAGCAATCAATTAATCATGGGTGTGGCATTGATGGGGCGCATCGCCTTCTCTTATTGGTGCATTCAAGTGCATGGCGGACGACGACTGGGCGATGACTCATGACTCCACTCTCTCTTACCAAAAATACGTGTTTGCATCTGTTTCTTGATTAGAGACAGTCTAATTACGACGGCGGGGGGTACATAATTAATTGCACTTAGCAGCTCCCGCCCTTGCATGGGAAAGCTGGACGTACTAACTGATACATGCAGATCGCTAGAGATACTGTAACATACGAAAAGGAAACGGCATTCCCTACGCAGAGGGGATACAGCCCATGTGTGACTACGACATTTCCCTGTTCATGGCCATGGCAATGCGGTGGGTACATCAAACTCCACTGAGCGGCAGCAAGACGAAGGCATGTATGAGTACGACACTACATACGCAGGACGGGGTGGTGCTTCAGAACTTGAGGAGGAAGATAGTGACCATGACCACCAAATTCGCGAGGCACAACATCAATATGTTCTTCAGGAATGCATGGTTCTGCTCGAGCAGCGCGACATGGCGATGAACCGACGCGTGCGAAATCAGATGTCCCCACCGCTGGCTTAAGTACTGTATGTACTTGTTCTCCCACTTCCAAAACTTGCACCCTCCATGCTGTAGAATGAACAAGAATCAGCATGCCCCGGTGAACATGAGTTGCGAGGATATGAAAAAACTTACCCCATGCCGTTCGCACTTGTAGAAGTGCCTCCCTGGGTTTAGTTCTGTCCCGGAGACAAACCACAGGACATAGCCGGCGTTGCATTCGGGGCAACGGATGAGCGGGAGTGGCGGCATCTGGTTGCTCGTGTGATGAGATGGCGGTGGTGTCGCACTGCTACGGGACATGGACGAACACATGCTTTGCAAGCCCAGATAATCTGAGAATAATGGAGAATGGGAGAAGCTTGGAATGGCCATCCAAAGCAAGGAAGGATGGCGTTTAAATAGCCAGCAAGGAGCGTCGCCCAGCTAGCCATTGCGACTGAACGGTGACCAACGCGATCTCCCTCACACGCCTGATGCGGGTAGCCGTTGTCACTGTCGGGCAGTAAATGCGGTCGCTTCCTTCTGTTTCAGCTAGCCGTTGTCACTACCAGATGCCATGTGGGCCTTCACTGATGCGCAGAGATTAATACGAGAGCTATACGAGATGGGATACGCTGCCCAGTGGCCTTTATACGCGAACGTCGTATTGGAGTTAGCACGAATCGCGTGGGGACTACCGGTGCGGATAACGACCTCGCGTGGCCGCATGTGCACACGCAATTTATCGGTTATTATGTGGCATGTTCAATATGTTTGCCTTTAGCAATCTCTATAACATGTCTTATTACTATAACGACATTGTTTTGCGATCGAGATTAAGTTTTCTCGCACAACAATATTGATTTGTGATTGAGAAATATATTTTTTTTCTCGCAAAACAATCTCATTGCGAATGAGATTAATTTTCTCTCGCAAAATATTAATTCACCCTGCTGAATTATCTTGCAACTTGATACAAGAACATCTCATTAAATTTGAGGTGTATATAATTCAAGTTTTTTCACTTGAACATCAAGTTTGCAACATCATTACTATTCATTTATAATAGTGGTGTATTTCTGTTGAGTATGATGTATTCCGGAATGTATGTATCTCCATGTTCGCTACATGTCGAGATTAATACGTCTATTTGTAATTGAGATTTTCAATTTCTTGCAAATACATATGCAAAATTCTTAGTGATTTCTTCAAATTGATGTATTGGGATCCCGAGGTAGTGTGTAGATCTACTGCTTTGCAGATTATCACCACTACTGTTTAAGCCTACATTTTGTCAAATTTGACATTATGATTGCACAACATTGTGCACTCCCATGCATTTTACTAAGTCATGACATAAGGCATTAGGAGTGAGTATCTACTGATTTCATCAGATTATACTCCCTAGTGCTGCGAGATCTACTTCATTTTGGAGATTATCTTCAAGGTGTCATGCTTAGCAATTTGATATTCACATTAATGGTTTCAAGATAACTTCTTGAAATATCCATTAATTTTACAATATTACCATGATGGTCTTCAGTTTACTAATTGTAAATTAACTATCTCTGGTAACCGATGGCTAGAGAATTTGAGGCATTCGCCCTCAATCGCCACCACTACCCTACCTGGGCATGGACATCATGATCACTCTTGTGTCTTGTGGAATAGTGTGTGCAATCCAAGACCACATGATTAACCTCTGGTCGGAATCACACCGCTAACAGAAAAATATTGTCTTATACATCATAAGGCATTATATCGATTCAGATCTCTGCATCTGGTTATTCTGTATCAGCAATTCCTAGGACACAACAGACCTCAAGGGCAAAGGTTTGGAGCTCACTTCAACCTTCAACCCAACATCACCAGCAGTGACGGGACCCTATGGGCACGGAGAATATGATGGTTGAATATGACTCAGCTAACATGTTTGAAGACTTCGTCTAGTCTCTCAATCTCCTGAGTGGTCAACATAATTTATGTCCATTTATGATGTTCTAATAAGAACATAAGTATTGTTGTCATCATATATTGTATATCACAATATATTGTATCAGCACTTTGTTATAAATATATTTGTATGTATTCTATATATCTGACAGTGATTTTCATATTGAGAATCTTCATGTCTATATATAGATTTCTACGGGAGTCAATCCGATGAAAAATGATATGTGCCTTGTGGACATATGCACCACAAACTCTATACTCAGGGAAGTATAATGTATTTTAAAATCGCTAGACGCGGTGAGGTATTTGTTGGCTCAACTCGAGTCATATTTACTATCCCTGTGGGTACCCGAGTAACATCGGGATGCTTTATTGCTTCCCAAGTTTAACTCGTACCCTACTAAACTATAGAGGTATCCGTCAAAATAGTTTTCATAGCGAAACTTATGATGACAACAAAGAGAAATATCTTCTCTTTACCATATGCAACGGATATGGCAAGCACATTCTCTATGTATCATCGGCATTGCACTACACATACTACAAAACCCATAGCACATGTTGCGTACGAGATAGTTTTCCAGAGTGTCTTTTGCATGACAAACTTGGCATTCCTGCTTTGGTCATCATTGACATTGGGTTGAAACCGAAACTATCAACAATTCCACTGGTTTATGATTGTTATGATGCTAAATTCTAATAACATTTGGATTTTATGTGCACTACAAGTGACACAGGGAAGCTAATTTTAAGGCTCGCACACCTTAAAGTCTACGCTGAACCACTCAGACTCCTTGAATGCATCAAGTCGAGGTAAGTGGCTCTTCCCAGCCATTGAGTAGACTATTCAGGTATCCATGGTTCTAAAAGACATATCTACATGATGGTCTTAAGTGTGTGCTTTATTCACACGAAACCATTGGCCATTATCCTGACATCGATTTCAAGCAAATTGAATGGATAACATTGCAGAATTCTCCTTGAGGGCCATCTCTATGGCTTTTGGATTGAAATTTAGCAATTTGTCCTAATGTCTAGACTCAAAATGGTTTGGTAGAATCCTATCCAAAGAGTTAAGCTCATTGCATTATCTTTACTTTGGAATTGCAACTTACCAACTTTACGTTGGAGTCATGCAGTTTTACACGCTCATGACAGAACTGCATAATATTATTCCCCACTATCTTTGATATGTGGATATCTACCAAGTATTTCCTATCTGCGGTAATTCGGTTGCATACCGATATCACCACCCGGCATACATCATTGTCCCCTCAACATATAGTTGGGATCTATGTGAGGAATAACTGTATTTCCGTCAATACCTCAAGCCCCTCACATGGGGAGTTATTCAAGGCCAGTATGTTGATTCAATGAGGAACATTTCCAGGCATTAGGGGGAGATTTCAAGTACCATAAAGAATGCCAGGAAATTAGTGGAATGTTCAACACATTTTCTCCCTTAAATCCACATACTCAAAGATCTGAACCATGCGTTCAGAAGATTTGCATCACATTGCAAATAACCTGCCAGATTCATTTACTGACTATAAAGGTGTCACACAATCCTATAATCCTGCAAAAATATGCCTGAAAGAGTGATGGTACCAACAAAATTCACTCCACTCCCTGTTCATAGCAACAAAGGGAGATGTATGGCAGAAGTACATCAGGATTCAGCTTCCCGCAAGCAAGGATATCAAGGCCTGTGAATCAGTAAATGCAAGTCAACTTCACGTTGAGAGACACCTAATGGGTAGTATACACCCAATGGACGGGAAACCTCCACCAACCCAGGTCATAGTGCACACAATGACCAGGACATCGGAATACCCGACTCGATCGCATTGGGAAATCGCGAGCAGTCACCATGGGTAACGATATTTCCATCAAGTCTATATTGATATATAGATTCTGGAGAATCATATAACCGTAAGTCTACAATTGTCGACATATATTTCTCAACTAGATTGCAAAAACCTTTCAAATGATTCAGATCCAAAGACCATGGCCATGGCAAAGTGTGAACAACACTCGGACTGAACTCAAGCAAAGGGTATAATCTAGGTAGAAATGATCTTCCTCAATAATGGGAAGGTATTCATAAGCAATACCTACACCAGTTTTCTTCTGGAAACGGAATTGAGAACAATGAGGTGGTGAAACATAGAGCAAGTATTGTAGCATAAGGGTTTACGCAGATACCCAACTATTCTCCACAGGTGGAATCTCTTTCCGATAACTTATATCATTGGCAGTACAAAATCATCTATCTCTGCAGTTGATAGACGTAGTGATTACATATCCATGTGCATCACTAGATTCAGACATATATGATTGATTCCCGATGGAATCTCAATTCTGAATCGAAATACAAAATGCAACATACATTGTGTAAAATCAGTAAGTCACCATACGACTTATCGTTGTCGGTACATTTGGTACAACCGACTTAGTGAGTTCCTTTCCACAAGGATTACTCCTACAATGATGATTATCCATGTTTGTGTGTCTGCAATGATGACACATGTAATCATCTAAATGACGGAGTTTAAAATGAAGGATCTGGGTAAACCAAAACACTGCTCATTACTACAACTTGAGCACCTTCATTCATACATTATGGTACACCATGTTGTCTATATCCAAAACATATTGGAGAAACTCATTATGGACAAATCTTATCCATCCATAACTCTCATGGTAATTCATTCTCTAGATGTAGAGAAAGATCTATTTAGACCAAGAGATGATGGAAATGAGATATTGGGACTCAATGTTCCATAATGCCATTGGATCCACCAAACACAATTGGTTGGTACTCAAGAATATCTTTCGATATCTCCAAGGCATCAAACATCTTGTCCTGGTTTTCAGTTTCACAGGAATGTGAACTCCAATATCATTGGATACATCGATCAGATCCCACTATGTCGGATCGTAGACAAGCTTAGTGTTCCTATTAGGTGTGGTAGCCATCTCATGGAGAGTCTTTGAAACAGACCTCATGGCTACATCCATCAACCATTATCTCAAGATAATGTTTCTTGTGTTGTCCGGATGCAAACAGGTTACTAATAAGCAATATCTTTATATTGCATATCTTGCAAGTCGAATCATGCAACTGATTTGTTCACCAAGTCTCTACCAACTTTTACATTCCAGAAACATGTTCATGGAATTGGTATCTGACGGCTTTGGAATTTGCAAGAATCAGGGGGAGTATCTTCCTGAATTGTTCCTGTTCAATGCATCATATTATACTCTTTTTCCCTTCATGAGTTTACTATACAGGTTCTCATAAAGGTATTTAATGAGGTAATATCAACATGAGATCATATGTCATACTTTCTGTTTTCCCCACCGGGTTTTTTGAGAAA